TATTAAAATTATATCAATAAAATTCAAAATAATAGAATTCAGGCGCGATTGTTTCCCAAATTGTCAAATAAAATTCCCGCGTTTGTTTTTAAAATTCAAAATAATAAAATTCAAAGTTGGTGACAGGGCTACAATTTTTGAATTTGCCCAAATTGCCAATAATGGCGCGATTGTTTCCGCACCAAAAATCATTCCCATTTTTAAATCACAAAAGAATCCATTATACATTAATATATGCATACATATTATATAAAATTATTGAATAAAATTAATAAAATTATTTAATGTAAATTATATAAACATGATTAATTAAGTCATTTTATATTAATTTAAACCTCACATTTTAAATTTATTTTGATTTAGTCTCTTACCTATGTGTGTTGTTTAATTTATATTTTAAGATTTTATTTGTAATTTTACATTTCTTTAATTTTGTCATTAATTTTATTTTTTTTACAAAATTGATCATGATTATTTATTTTCTCTTATTTTACTCAAAATCATATACAATTACAACTTCCAATTCAACATCACGAAAGATGAAAAATTAATTAATCCAAAAAAATAAAAACAACCGACCTGAACTCAATCCGTATCCGATAACATCCGACCCTGAATTTTATCTGTCAATGATGTGACTCGATCTGAACGAGATCCGACTAAAGTCACCGAACCTGAATTAACATGGGTATTTATCTGCTTCGGACTGAATTGTTTTGACCTGAACTGAAATCGATCCGAACTGAAAAATCCGTATCCGATAAACATCCGACCTGAATTTTATCTGTCAATGATGTGACTCGATCTGAACGAGATCCGACTAAAGTCAACCCGAACCTGAATTAACATGGTATTTATCTGCTTCGGACCTGAATTGTTTTGACCTGAACTGAAATCGATCCGAACTGAAAATGACCCGACCTGAACCCGATCTGGATCTGGTGTCAAATCAACCTGAAAATAACCCGAACTAATTTGACCTGACCTGAACCCGATCTGGATCTAGTGTCAAATCAACCTGAATTGACCTATATCCGATTTTATCCAACCTACTAAGATCCGACTGAAACCTGACCGATTACCTGTTTTTACAACCCTATAACCAAGTGCTAGAAGCGTTGATAAAACAACGCGTCCAATCCTTCCTCACCCGCAACTTTCAAAGGGGAAATATATTTTACCTTATTCATAACTTCCTCAACCGTAAATTCACGCAACATGGAAGAGTTTATATCATCCGTGACATAGGCATGTTAAACATAAATTTTGTTATTCATATTGTGTGATATAATTATTTAAACATAACTAGTTATTTATTTTATATTATCTATGTGGTATCAATTATATAACATACAAAATAAAATATATAATAAAGGTAGAAAATTGAATAGTTTCTGAATATTGGAATCTAAGATCGACAAAAAAATATTTACTGAAAGGTATAGATTAGTTGCTTTCTTTTATGGCATGATGTCACTAAGAAAAGCTCAGGCTAGATTCCATTGGATCTGAGTTTTGGGCATGGTTTTCTGGAAGGAATTTGGATCAAGTTCACCAAGAAATCGAGTTAAAGGTAGTTGGGTCTAAACTCGGGTTAACCCCTTGGTCTAGCACACAAATGTTTTAGAAGCTTGGGCCTTGTGAGTTCTTGGGCTCAAGCAGTATGGTTTCACCATTAACTTTGATGGGGGCAGTTTCATCTGCATATTTTCCCTTAGAATAGTGTGGCGGCTGATGGCAACTGAAGGTGATCGGCGGCGATGGTGATGAGTGGCAACGATGGTGGTGAGTGGCGACTAGGGGTGTAAACGAGCCGAGTCGAGCTCGAGTATTGCTGAGCTCGACTCGACTCGAAAATTCTGCAATGGAGCTCGACTCGACTCGAAAACTCGCGAGCTTAAAATTTTCAAACTCGACTCGAACTCGAAATCCTGAACTGAAGCTCGTGAGCATCTCGAAAAGGCTCGAAATGAAAAAAAAAATTCTTAAACTTAACTCGATTGAAGCCTTAAACTCAAACTCGAACCTGAACCTTAAATACATTAAAATCTTACTGTATTTTTTATTAAAAACTTGAATATCAAGTAGCTCGTTTCGGCTCGTTAAGAACTCGAATCGAGTTCCAGTCGAGTTCATTCGATCCGAGTATTTATCGAGCCTTGGCCGAGTCGATCTCGAGTAGCTCGTGATCTATCTCGTCTCATTTACAACCCTAGTGGCGACGAGTGATAAAAGATTTTGTTCAAATTCAAGGGTTAAATTGATATTTTATCTGAAGTTTAATAGTCAAAATGATATTCCATAAAAAGTTCAAGCTTAAAATAATATTATATCTGAAGTTCAATGGTCAAATTAAAAATTAACCCCTTTTAACGTTTCTTGTTATCAAACTAGCATATGTTAACAACTTAATGATCAAAATGCAGTAAATAATTGTTAAAGTAAGTGACTAAAAAATTTAATAAGTCAATAATATAAATATCAAAACTTAACTTTCAATAGTTTACCCGATCTTTATTTTTTTTTAAAATCTTTATATCTTTTTACTTTTTTTATATCAAATAAACAAATATTTAGCAAGAACTTAAAAATAGGCAAAATGCATATGAGGCCCTTATTTTAAAAAAAATTAATGAGACTTGAATTATTTTTGTACTAAATATGACACTTATATTCAAAAAAATAAACTAAATATGGCCCATTTGACCAACTTTTTTTTTGTTGTTGATTGTTATGATATTGATGTGGTAGTCGTGCTAATAGATGATGTGGCAAGTGACATGACAGATAAGCTAAATTGATTTTTTAATCTTATTCGAGGGTCAAATTGATTTTTTTAATTGAAAATTTTATTTTTTTTTCTTAAAAATTTAAAATAAAAAACTATTTACATATTAAAGAAACTAAATACAAAATACTTAAAATAAAATTTAGTTATTAGAAATAAATATATATTAAAAATAATATTAATATATATCATAAACTATAAATGATAAATTAAGAATTATTAAAAAATTTAAAATGATTTTGAAAAAATATATTATATATAATATATACATGTAAAATATAGATATCAATAATATTAGTATAAAGTATTCTTAGTGAATTTGTCGAGACTTATAAATTTTATATTTAAATATAATAAAAAACATAATAAGTTATTTTTATGTATCAATAACACATCTAAGGCTCTGTTTGTTTCAAGTAAAATATTTTCTTCATTTTCTAATGTTTGGTTGGAAGAAAAATGGTTGGTCAACGTAAAATATTTTCTTGGTCAATAGAATTTCCTTCGTATTTTCTGGAAAATGACTTACGGTCTGATTTTCCGTAAGTCTTTTTTTGAATTTTTCATTTCAAAGAATAAATACTCAAAATTATTTTATTTTATGAATTTAATATTAATATAAAAATTAAAATATCATTTTATTAAAATATTAATTATTAAAATATTTAAAATATATTTATTAATATTTATAATAATATAATATTATATTTTTTATATTATAATAATATACTCAATTATATTATAATAATATTATTTTTTATTTTTTATTTGAATAATATATAATAAATTATTCTTACATTTTATATTATTTATTAATTTCATAGAAATAATATTATTAAATTATTAATAATGAATAATATTATTTATATATTTTATATCAATATATAATAATCTAATAATATTTCAATAAAGATATTCAAAATATATTAATTAATACTTTTTAAAATATAATATAATACTATTACTTTAATAAATAATTAATATAATATATAATATTTTTATTTCTATAGAGTATAATAATCTTAATATTTTTATTAATAAAATTATAGAAATGATATTTTAATAATAAATAAATAAATAATTTTAATATTTCAAAAATAATAATATTAAATTTTTATTATAAATAATATTAATTTTTTATTTAATATTTTTAATAAATAATTTTAGAAAAATCATCAACCCATTGAAAATGGTTTATACAACCTCTTCCAAACAGTGTAAAATATTTTCCAGAAAATGTAATTTGTTTTACGAAAAATATTTTCTGAAAAATGTTTTCAGTGAAACAAACGTATAAGAAGCAAGTATATCAAGTGACACTTAAAAATTATTTGAAATAAGATTATATATGTGTATTTGATGTGAGTAACTTTCGATGTTTCCTAGTTATATTTCGATACAAAATTTTACATTTCAACTAATTCAATTAGTGTACTTTATACAAGTGTGGATGATATAACTATATATATATATATATATATTGTATAATATATTTTTAATTTTTTAATAATTTATCATTTATCATTTATCATTTTATAACATACTATATATTTTTAAGTTTTTTTTATTTTTAATAATATTTTTAGTATTTTTAATGCATATTTAATTTTTCAATAATTTAATTTTAAATATTTATTTTTTTAAAATATTTTATATTTTGAATTTAAAATATTTAAAGATAAGCGAATTAACTATAAAACAAATCAATTTAGCCTTATAATAAGACAAAAAAATCAATTCATTTCATCTGTTATGTTATTATCACATCATCAATTATTGTGAAATACCGTAATTTATTAAGTTAACACTATGAATTATCACTTCAATATTAAAACAGTCAACCACAAAGAAATTAATCAATAGAATATATTAAATTTTTTTTTTGAGTTAAAAAACATATATAATGCAAAAATAATTTCATGCCATATTAATTTAAAAGGGGGAAAAAACTACAAGGGCTTCGTATGCTTTTTGCCTGGAAACATTACGTAAGGCATACTTTTAAGTAGTTATTTTTCAAATAATCCAAACAAAATGTATCAAATTTACTTTAACAATACACTTACCCGGAAGAGTAAAATACTTACCAACAGTCTAAATAGAAGGGGGGAAATGCCCGTTTTGACACCATCAGATTCAGATCTGAGACTCCAGAGTCATTTCATCGCAACTACCGAAGACAAGTACTGTTTCCGAACATAATCAACTCGGCATGGAAAACCGAAGCAGCTATGTCCCACCGCCTTACATACCTTTGGCTCAATCGGACGAAGAAATCCCTCCTCGTCCTGTTGGGGAGGTTGATGGCGAATCAAGGCCGTCACCGCCGCAGTCTTATTCCGTTCAGTGGTCTTCTGGAATCTGCGCTTGTTTTGGTTTTCTCAGGTGCCTCTATATGAGTTTTATTTGATTGAATTGAAGTAATTTGGGAATTGATATCCAGTAGAGTCTCAGACTTATATTGTCACAGTTAATGAAAATAAATTTGGTGATTGTGCAAATAATATACGGCCATATGTAGGGGTGGAGGCATGATTTTATGTGAGAGGGTGAACTTCTAAAATTTAGGAGGGAACAATTTTATAAAATTCTAGGGTTGATAACAGATTATGGATAGGCAATACAAATAAAATATCTAAAATATATGATAATTTGAAATTTTACAACTACCCTGGCTGTCACTCTCGGTCCATCCCTGGCCATGTGCTCAATTGAGTCTGAGATTGTCACTGACTAATTTGGTGAATAATACTTGAATGCCATTGCCACGCAGGTTGCATAGGTCTTCTTTTCCCCTGCTATTTGTTCGGAAAGAATGCAGAGTTTCTGGGTTCTGGTACTCTAGTAGGATCCTGCATCACCCATTTCATTCTTTGGGCTCTTGCCAACACTCTTTGCTGTGTCTTAACTCAAGGCTTCTATTTGGCCTTACCTGGATTGGGATGCTTTATCTCTTGTTATGCTTGTGGATATCGAAGGACACTTCGCTCCAGATACAATTTGCAGGTATTATGCATATCTCTTTCTAGTTTCATGCTTATTCTTGTTTAGACTTTTAAGATTTTGGAATATGATGCTTACTGCTTACATTAATTGAACACCCTGTCCACGTTTTTTCCTCTCTGCATGATTGGTTTTATTTATAATTTCGTTGAATGCTACTTGCTAGAGAATTGAGATGGACTATGTCTGTGGTACTTGAGTTCCATACTTTTATTGATCATTATTAAACATTGCCTTCATATCTATGGTTAGTTGCCTCTCTATTGTAAGGAAAGAAATAAAGTGATCGTGCCCGGAGCGAGTCTGTAAAGTTGTGCAGATTCTAATTTTAAGCAAGATTAATTTATGGATGCTACCTAATATATATATGAATGCATGATTTCAGCTAAATGATTTCAGTATAGCTGTAGAAATCAGAGTAATTCTCTGTATTTTCTTATTCTTTTCAATAGGACAGATTACATCTTTATATATAAATTATCTCTCTAAAGTAGAAAGCTCTTAAGAAAGGAAATATACTAATCCTAGAATACGATCCCTTAAAATAAGGGATTGTAGAAATCTATTTACAGAATCCCTTAACTAAAGGAATGGTAACAAATCATATCTCTATAATTCCTACACTCCCCTCAAGCTGGAGAATATACATTGTATAATCCTAGCTTGAATTGGAATTATGAAAACAGGCTTGGCAAAGCCTTAGTAAGAATGTCTGCAACTTGTTCTTCTGAAAGAATGTATGAAAGTGTGGCTATATTTTTGTTAACTTGATCAGCAATAAAATGTCTATCAATCTCAACATGCTTTGTCCGATCATGTTGAACTGGGTTCTTGGCAATCTGAATAGCATATTGATTATTACAAAAATCTTCAAAGTGATCCTCTTGATTAGTGACAAGTTCTTTCAGTTGTTTAAGTAGCCAAATTCCTTCGAATATTCCCAATGCTAGTGCTTTGAATTCAGCTTCAGCACTACTTCTTGAACGACAAATTGTTTCTTACTTCTCCAAGTTGTAAGGTTTCCCTAAACAAAGGTATAGTAGCCGCTAGTGGATCTCCTTTCATCAAGGTCTCCGGCCTAACTAGAGTCTGTAAAGATCTTAACAGTTCTGTCTTGTGTCTTCTTAAACATTAAACCGTGTCCTGGAGTTTTCTTCAAGTACTTGAGAATTCTATTTGCTGCTGCCCTATGCTCTTCAGTAGGATTAGTCATGTGTTGACTTATCACATTTACAGGAAATGTTATATATGGCCTTGTTAGGGATAAATAAATTAGTTTCCCAACTAATCTTTGAAATTTCTCTTTGTCTACTAAAGACCCATCTTCTTTGTTAAATTTCAAGCTTGCCTCCATTGGTGTATCATTCGGCTTACAACCAAGAAAACAGTTTCTTTGAGTAAATCAAGTACATATTTTCTTTGGTTGATCACAAGTCCTTCTTTTGACCTTGCCACCTCCATTCCTAGGAAATACCTTAGCTATCCCAAGTCCTTGGTTTCAATTTCCTTATTTAACAATTTCTTCAAATTGCAAATCTCTTTTTCATCATCTCCAGTAAGAATTATGTCGTCCACGTACACAATAAAGATAGCTTTCTTATTTGTAGAAGTTACCTTGATGAAAAGAGTATGATCGGCGAGGGACTGCTCTGTGTTTTAAAAAGTGCGCTTGAGGCGCTTTGAGGCGCTAGGCAAGGCGAGGCGTTTAGAAGAAAGCCTCCGACCACCAAGGCGGCGGTGAGTACATGAGGCGGCGATTCAGTCGTCAGAGGCAGCGAGAGGCGACGAGGCGATGCTTTTAGCGATTGACGTACAATGATTGCAAGACTCTTCCGGTGTAGACGTAGTTGTTGTGGTAGTCATAGAAGGGCCTGATGGCGGTGTCGTTCTAATAACTTTCACCGGTACCAAAAAACTCTGTCGGTGCTGATGTTGCTGTTGATGGTGAATGGACAGAGACCCAGCGACGTTGTTTGGCGGAATCATCCGAACAGAACCTCCACCAGCGGTGGTTCCCCCGCCTTCTGACTCGTTATCATCTTCATCATCGTTTACACTTTCTTCAGAACTTTCATCAGCTCCATCTTCTTTGTTACTTTTCAATCTATCCCCTCTTCTTCTCTTACTCGTTCTACTCAAGCGATCTCTTTCTCTTTCTCTTTCCCGTTCCATATCTCGCTCTCTATCCCGTTCTCGATCTCTTCTTCTCTTTCTCTGCCCTTCTATCCCTCTTCTCCTTATCTCTCTCTTTCCTCTTTTTGTGCTCTAAATGTCATCTTCTTTTCGCTATTTCACCCTCAATGAAACTCACTCCAAGCCTTAGTAAACAGCCACGATCACTGATTATCAAATAATGATCGAATCTGAACCCTTCATTCCTCGACAGATCCAACGATTCACATTGGGTTTAAACCAACATGGCAAGACCTCAACCGTTGATTAATTATCTCTTCTCTCCCTTAACCTTTTTCTAAATTGTTCCCTATTCGCAACGTGTCATATTCATTCATTTAACCTTTTTCTAAATTATTCCCTATTCGCAACGTGTCATATTCAAAGGTTAAATTGTGTTTGAAGTATGGTTATAAAATATTTACAAATGTTTTGTAAAATTAAGCGCCTCGCGTACGTGAATCCCTAGCCTCAAAGCGCCTCTAAAATTGAGGCTTTCGGGTAGCTAATCGCCTTGGAGCGCCTCGCGCCTTTTAGAACACAAGGACTGCTTGTAGCCGTTTTTTAGGATGACTTTAGTGAACCTCTTGAACCAAGCTCTGGGTGATTGTTTTAACCTGTATAGAGACTTGTTGAGCTTGCAAACCTTATTGCTACCTTCAACAGACTATAAGCTAGGTGGCAATTTCATATAGACTTCTTCTAGCTGGCCATTAAGAAAAGCGTTTTTTACATCAAGTTGGTGTAATTGCCACAATTTACAGCCAAACTTAGGAGTACTCAAACAGTATTCAGCTTCGCCACAAGTACAAAAGTTTCTGTGAAATCTATCCCATATGTTTGCGTAAAACCTCTGGCCACTAGTCTCGCTTTGTATCGTTGGATACTACCATTTGAGTTATACTTTACAGCAAAGATCCATTTACAGCCAACAACATTTTTTCCTTGAGGAAGGTCTGTAACAATCCAAGTAGTATTTCTCTCTAGTGCAGAAATTTCCTCTTCAACAACCCTTATCCATTTAGAATCCTTTAAAGCTTCAGTTATGCTTGTGGGAACCTGTTCTTTATCCAAGGTTGTTGTAAATGCTTGAAAAGAAGTTATCAATGAATTATAACCAGCAAATTTTTCAATAGGATGCTTGGTGCACTGTCTAACCCCTTTTCTAATAGCAATAGGGAAGTCATCTAGAGTGGTAGAAGTAGACTTACTGATTTCTTCTTCTATTTCGGCAGCTGGACCCAAATCCAATTCTCGACAAGAATCAGATTGCAAAACAACCTTAGGAATATGTTTTTCTTTTCCTTGTATAGAAACGAAGCTGTTTGATTTGTGTTGTTTGTGGAAGATTTTGAATGAGAGTAGGTGTATTTTCAGGAAGGGTATTTAAAGTGGGTATGGGTGAAGTAGTGATAGGTACTACAGGTGGATTAATGGGAGTAGTTACAGGTGACAAATCTATAAGTAAAAACAAAAATGATGGCAATTCTAAAGGTTGAGAATGAAAAGTGGTTGGAGATACCTGATATGGCTGAAAATCCCTCCATGTCTCCCCCTGAATTTCAGCCCGAGTGAAATAGGGATCCTGCTCATAAAAAGTGATATCCATAGTGGTGAAAAATCTTTTAGAAGGAGGATGATAGCATTTATAACCCTTCTTGAGTGAAGAATACCCAACCAATACACACTTTATAGACTTAGGATCTAACTTGGACTTATTTGTAGCAATGTTTTGGATAAAAACAGTACAACTAAAGATTTTAAGGGGTAGAATAGAGGATATAAGTTTAAAATGGGGAAAGTATTGCAAAAATATAAATTGAGGTGTTTTAAAGTGTAAAATCTTACCAGGCATTCGGTTGATCAAATATGTGACAGTTAATAAGGCTTCCCCCTCAAATATTTTGGAACATTAGTGGTAAATAGAATGGAACGAGTAACTTCAAGGAGATGTCTATTTTTTCTTTCGGCAAAGCCGTTTTATTGTGGGGTTCCAACACAAGAACTAAGTTGAACTATACCCTTTTCCCTACCCAAAGACTTAGCAAAAAAAATTCACTTCCATTATCATATTTAAAGAGCTGGATTTTGGTTCCAAATTGAGTGAGAACCATGTTATAAAATTGGGCAAAAACACTGGCAGTTTCAGATTTATCTTTGAGCAAATAAGTCCAAGTAATCTTACTGTGATCATCAATGAAAAGTGATAAATCACTTACAATTATCAGTATTCTTCACCCGATAAGGGCCCCAAATATCACTGTGGATCAAAGCAAAAGGGTGAGAAGGCTTGTATTTAGAAGGAGAAGAAGATGATTTAGTATGTTTGGCAAGAGAGCAAACTTTGCAAGAAAAGAAAGTTTGCTTTTTATTAATGAATAGAGCAGGAAACAACTTTGCAAGATAGTGGAGACTAGGATGGCCTAAACAAAAGTGTCATAGTATAACAGTATCATTTTGTTCTAAAGCAGTGAACGATTTAGAGATCTCGGTTGTAGTAATTGAAGGGAGGATGTAGAGGTCATTCTGCAAGCTGGCCTTACCAATCATCTTCTTCGAGTTTAGTGCATGCAAAGTACAGTCAATATCAGTAAAAATTGCAGAGCAGTGCAAGTCGATGGAAAGTTTACGAACTGAAATGAGATTGCAAGCCAGAGTTGGTACAAAGAGAACATTTTTAAGTGTCATATGTTCATTGAGAACCACAGTGCCATGACCTTCTGTTTTGCACATGGAACCATCAGTCGTTTTGACTGCCTTACCGACGTTTGGGAAAAATTATAAAACAAATCCTTGTTACCAGTCATATGATCCGTTGCACCAGAATTGAG